TTTCCCCCCCCCCCCCCCCACCCCCGGCCATCTCACATTGCCTTCTTGATTTCAGCTCCATCGGCCGAACGAGCAAACTTACGAAGATGCGGCTGCATAGAGGAAGGTGCCCACACACATACAGGTAGATGCAGCACTAGCACGTGTCACATCACGTACCTCTGGGAAGTGCAGCTCTGCGAGTGCGTGTTTCTTGTACAGCTGGTCGAACTTCATGGCATCCTTGGCATCAACCTCTGAACACACACAGACACTCAGACACACACACACACAAGGGGTGCGGAATCCGGATCGCCCTTTCTGTGCCTCTTGTGTGTCCGCGTCCCCCGCCCCCCCCCACCCCCCCTCCCCGGTCTCACCGAGTGGCCAGATGTCCTCAGTGGTCATCATGATGTAGGTCTTAAGCAGACGAGCAACCACATCCTTCACGTCAACACCAACACTAGACACCTGACACCCCACACCACATGGATGGGTGCATGCAGCCCTCTGCCCGTCTTACCTCGCTACTGTCCTCCATCGGCACGTCGCCATCACCACCACCATTGCCCTCCTTCGCACCACCACCACCACTGCTGCTGCTGCTGCTGGTGGTGCTCTTGGCGCCCGACGGTCTGGATGAGGCCGAGGGTACCGCCGCACTCGACAACTCAGGGACGGGGGCGGCCTTCTCGGCAGCTGGCAAGAGAAAAAGCCGTCTATGTGCCGTCAGTGTGTGTGTAGCTGTCGTCGCATGTGTGTGAGGTGTGATGTGGTGGGGCAACTCAACTCACTCTGCATGGCCATTTGCTGTTCGAGTATGAAGATGTCTCTCCCTTCGGACAGGAAGTAGGTGGCCAGCGTCGCATACGAACTCTCCTGATGGACCACAAGACACACCACACCACACCACAACAGAAATGCGTGTGATGTGTTGCAGGAAGGCCTCTCTGCGGTCCTGGTTCGCCTACGTCGTCCTTGAACTTGTCATCCTTGCCGTCAATCAACTGCTCACACCAAGAGCGACACAGAAGACATCTGACGGGTCTGTGATGTGTTTGCGTGCGTGTGTGTGTGTGTGTGTGGTACCTTTGCGATCTCGTCAGCCGTCAGTTTCTCGCGAATAGCCTTGACCATGCGCGCCTTGCTCCACTCACGCCTGCATCGACAGGACACATGAACCACACACAGAGGCATTCGCACACACACCACTCCCCCCCCGCCCCCCCGCCCCCTGCCCCCTCCTTGTGCCATGCTCACATCACATCCTTCAACACCTCAGGAGTTTTCTGCACCCAATGCACACACCACACACCAAAACACCATCACCCTCCTCATCCCACCTGCACCCACCCACCCCTCACCGTCTCACGGAAGGCCTCGATTTTGGCCGCAGCCTCCTTCCACGTGTCGCCGCCGTCCATGAGCGCCTTCTTCATGGTCATGTAGAGGTGCATCTGTGTGTAGCCCAGGTTCTCCGTCTTCTCCAACAGCATGGTGCAGTACTCCATCTGCTGCTGCGGCGTCATTGTGTCGGTGCGGTGGGGGTCGGCGGTGGAGGGTGGGGATGGGGTGCCAGGGGAGGGGGCGAGGGAGGTGGGTGGGGTGGCGCCGGCATGGTTCTTGAAGTCCGAGAGGGGGGTGGACATGTGGCAGACGTCCTGGATGATCTGAGAGCCCACCAACATGAGATCGGGGATAGCGCCCTGCACAGCACACAACACCGCCGGGAAGGAAGGGAACCGGCAACGGTCCTTGGCGTTCCTCGTGGTGGGTGTGCTGCCCATCCCCGCTTCACTTACGAGTGAGCGGCCGCCGCGTTTGTCCGAAAGTGCCATGGTGGCCTGAGCGGAGGCTGCCTTTGGCTTCGTGGAGGCCTTGGATTTCTTCATCTTCACCTTATTTGGTTTCGCGACCCATGTAAATGCTGTGACTTATATGCCCGGCCAGGACACTTTTGCGACGTGACTGCCAGGACTGCAGCGGCACTATGATACACGTTTTACTGTAAAGGACAGACAGGTCTCCAGCATCAGCACGCAAAGCCACCGGCACACAACACACGCGCACACGTACGATCGCCCCATGCACTGCACTCACATCGCCTCCCTCCAAGGTCTGTACACATGCCCCCCTCAGTCATCTCTCTGCCCCCCCCCCCCGCCCGCCCGTCACCCACCCACCACCTCTCACGTGTTGC